AACTTGGTTTATCATATAAAGCAACAATTATTTTTAAAACTTTGACAATTATCTTGTGGTTGGATGAGTACACTTTGTAAACCCTAATAACCCATGAATTTCCACATTCTCATGCTCAATGGGTTTAACCTCCATGGACTATCCATGGATTGGTTTAGCCCATAATCATGGATTATTGGACCACATTACAAGAACCGTTGATTTACATAATCAATCCCCATATATTAATTAGTCTATTTTGATCACAAAATTAATTCCAAATTAATTCTTGATCAATACTAATTAAATAATATTAATATATTAATAAATCACAAATAACCTTATTCTTAAAAAAATCATCCTATCAAATTGCACTGTGAAGGCAACCCAAAAGGACCATGCTACTATCAGGTCAAGTACATCCCAATTATAGTTATGAGCTTAGACACCAAATCCAGCACTTTCAGTCAAACTTGAAAAAATAAATTAAATAATAATAAACAATCCAAATAGCAATTAAATCATGAAATAAAAGATTCATTCAATCATGGGCACAAAGTAAAAGGTTTTAACACCCAAATCAGAAAGTAACACATTATGGAATCAAAGTGGAATGCTAATCATGGTCACGACAACAAACCACATGATCTCCAATATGAATCCGCTCCCTAATCCTTCGGATATTCAATCGTGTCAACTTAAGGGCCTTTCGGCCGCCTTCTAGACCCTCAAGACCGCTTCTCTAAGGTTTCTTATCGACCAAGGATCAATAAAAGTCATAAATACTCCCTAAAAGTCTTCCATATGCTAAAAAATATATAGATTCCCAAATATCTTATCACCACGACGTGGTAATGGAACCACGTTGTGGTCCTTGTGTATATCCTGTATTCTCCAAGTTAGTCTCAATGATCACGAAGTTTCTATTACCACGTCGTGGTGGTATCACCACATCGTGGTAATTAGATTTTCGGTAATATATATTTCATCAGAACATAAAAGTTGTTAGGTGCATTTCATGCATCCATTTTGTAGTTTTACTTCATAAAAGTGCATTGAATATATAGGCTTAAACTCATGCATTTTGCATGTTTTTGGGGATTTTTCATGAGACAATTTCATTCACACACTTTTGTGATATTTCAGTGACTTTTGTAGGTAGGATCATACTTGAAGAGATGAATAAAAGATGTAGATGAAATTTCGGGACTTGCGGAGCACCGAGGAGGAAGATATCAAAGAAATGAAGATTTTGGTCATTCAGAAGTTTACACGGCCGTGTAATGTAAACCTTTTGTTTACACAGGCCGTGTAAACGCATTCTCTCAAGCATTGTACTTTGAAGACTTGACCAATTTGTGCAACGTACTTTTTCTGTTTACACGGCCATGTAAATGATTAGTGTTAATTTACACGAGCCGTGTAAACATGGTCGTAAGTTTAAAGCAGTTTATCTTCTTTCTAAAAAGGGTAACCAGTTCTAAAGGGAGTTAAGTCGAACTTAGGAGTTTATGGGGAGATTTGGAGGAGATTTTGGAAGAAAATTAGTGATTGGAAACATTTGGATTGCATTTTGGATTTCAGTTTGTAAGATTTTAACTTTAATTTCGTGATTTGTGTTTTGTTCTAGTCATGTGTGGCTAGAACCCTAGATTCTCCAACTTCATGTATTGACTATTGCATGTGACTTCAATCTTGTGACTTGATGTTTGTTTTAAATTGATTTTGTTTTAATTGAAATTTTGGTTTCAATTCTAGTTCTTTTTGGCCAGTTCAGTTAGGGTTGATTCATTAAAGTTATCTATTATACAAAATCCGTAATTGTATTGTAATATAGAACAAGTAACAAAAACTAAATTGAAATTTCTTTGAATAATTCTGGTGTAAATCAAATTCACACATTCTTCCAATCCCAAGCTTATGAGGAGTATTGAATGTTATTGGTAAAATTCACACAAAGCATTATGCAATCTTTCCACCTAATTCTAAGAACTCGTTTAGATTAGATTGGTTAGATTAGAATTAATCAAAGAACTTATTTTGATTAATTAAAATGATGAATACGAATTTCTAGAGCTTGTTAGCATTTCTAAATACCAACTTAGGTAGAATTTAACATGTATCATTTCATCCTTGGAATCACATTGCTAATTTTTCTTACATGGAGTTGGAGTACTTACAAATCTTGAATTCACTTTACTTAATCAATTGTTATCTTATTACTTCAGTCCTTTATTTGAATCATTGCATATAAACCCCCCTCTTTTATGATCCCATTTGTACCGTAAGCAAAAAGGGTATAAGTACTTGTCCCGTGTCTCTGTGGATCGACCCTACTTACCTTGTATTATATTTTTAGTGCAAAGTAATAGTGTTTTGGAGTCATTTGTACCCTTTATTTAATGGGTTTTACACACCTAACAAAAGTCCTCTAAAATTTTTGGTAGTTTTCAAATCATTTTGAATCTCGTTAATTGGAGTTGCAAGTCATGAGATATGGTCAAAACACTGACGAGGGGTCAAGCTATCCAGCAACATTATTTTTGCGTCTTTTTAGCTCCTTTCTCTTCTTTTTGCATTCCAACTCCCATTTTAACTATAGCTGAACGTTTCAAAGCATATTAAGTATTTTTTTTAGTTCTAAATAACATAAAAACGTAGTGCAAAATAATAAGAAAACATTATAAATATATGCATAAAATAGACATATTCACTATGCCACGTATGAAATTATATATCATTTGTATGATATGATAGAGGTACTACTAGAGTACGAACATGCTAGGTGATTGAGATAAATCCTTGTATGGTTTGTGCAGGATAAGACACTTAGTGTCATAGCATGCTAGAGTAATATGGTCTTGTTTGTGGATTGTATGATATTATTATGTGTCATGATTGATTAGGATAAAGATAGTGATGGTTGTATGTGGTTAAGTTAGATATCCTGAGAACTCTTGGTCTAATACCTATTGCATGGTTCTTGTTTGATTTATTGCTTTTGGGTAGGATCATCCGTTCGACTGTCTATCTGATCCATGACTACATATAATTTTATGTATTGTATGAAAGACCAGGATTCATCCCCTGGAAATTGTATGAAAAAACCAGGATTTAGCCTCTGGTACTTATATGAAGGGCCTGGATTTGGCCCCTGTCACTTGTATGTTAGACCAGGATTTGGCCTTAACATTCCAAGGAAAGACCATGATTTGGCCTATGGCAGGAAGTGATCGTAAGACTATGATTTGGCCCATAGCAATCACTTAGGGCAGAAACAAACCTGTAACTAGGGTTGTAAACGAACTGAACGAATACGAACGAAGGCTTGTTCATGTTCGTTCGTTTAAGTTAGACGAACACATAAACGAACACGAACAGATAAACAAACGAGTTTTCTTGTTCATGTTTGTTCGTTTAACAAATGACATTGTTCATGTTCGTTTGTTTATATTCGTGAACATGCTAAACAAACATAAGTAAACGAACATAAATGAACAAAGATAAATAAACATAACTGAACCTATATGAACATAAATGAACATAATATAGTAATATAATCAAACATAATTAAGCATATATGAACATAAAATGAACTTTATATAAACGAACGTAAACAAACAACATAAACAAACATTCACGAACATAATCGAACAAACCAGAACATTGTTCATGTTCGTTCGCTTAACTAAACGAACGAGAATTTGTGTTCATGTTCGTTCAATTATTAAATAAACGAACTTCCCGCCGAACGGTCCACGAACAGTCCACTGAACGTTCAGTTCGTTTACAGACCTACCTATAACCCTATATATGTTTGTTATGTATGTTGTATGCTTGTGGATATGAGAATTAACAGATTGCACTAAATCCAAGGTCTTGTATGGATACATTATATGTATCGTGGATATGTGGTATACCGAAAAACTCACTAAGCTTTATGTTTATAGTTGTAGATAAAATGTTTTGTAGGTTGTTCGTGTGAAGAGATCGATGGGACTATACATGCGCATCGAAGATGTTGATTTCTATTGCTTTTGTAATTCGACTCTGATAACATTATGGTTTAAAAAAATGAATGTCACTTATTTATTTAAAGTTAAAGATTTTAATTGGTTGATCTATTTTAAAAAAAATCTCTTTGTAATTTTCGGGATGTTACATTTTCTTCTAACTTCAAACCTTCATAACTCCTTTGTTTATATACGTTTTCTATGATCTTTATAATCATACGAAGGTGGGGATACGGTCTACAACTATGTTAATTTATTTTTCACTGACTTAATACAGATCTTAATCTAATAAGTCACAAATTTTGCCCAAAAAACATAAAATTTCTCATTTTACCATTTTGATCAAAATGCATCTTCTTTTGAACTTACTCCTCTAAGCTCATCATAATGACTTAAATTCATCTTGACCATTTTTATGAAATCACAACTCCATAATCTTACTAAATTCTCAATAATGATCATTTTATCATTTTATTCAATATTTGACTAAAAATCAAATATCTCTAAATTTCGGATTTTTATTAGCTTGGACATGATAATATAGGTGCCCATCATAACCTTAACCACATTGACAATAACCTCTTTAGAATCCAAGAGAATACAAACTCACGTGCTATAAGTGTCTCCAACATTTTCGTCTATATAAACGATAGAATCATAGAACTATATTTCATTGCAATGTTCTTGAAAAAATTTGAACTTTATGCCTTTAATGGAACCCCATTAATGTCGACCTAAGGTTTGGTTTCCGCAAACGATACCCTAGTGGTTGAAAAACATTATTCCGTATAAAAGGTTCGGAATTCAAACATAGCTTGTAAATTCAAAATATTAATAGTGTAAATAAAATTGCAATAATTTTTCTAAATCACCCCCAAAGAAATAGAAAGAAAAGTATTTATAAATGATATGTCACGTGCCATACAAAGTTTACCACGTGAGTTCCGATGTGTCTGACTTCCAAGGTCCGAGTGTCCTATAAATAGAGAGAGAGCCTGCATCTCATACCCCTCACATAACTCAATCCCCACTACACTCTCTTTCTCTCTCACACACAAACACGCTCAATGCGCGTACTGATTTCTTTGAAAGAAATTCATAACTAAAAAAGAAAAAGAAAAATCTTGATTTCCAACCTTCTATATATATAGCAACAATCAGCCGTGCAAAACGAATCTCCTACATGCTCCTCCGTAAACCGCCTTAAATCCGTCATCCCCTCCACCGGTCTCCGTGATTTCCGTACACCTTTTTCAACACCGCTAAATCATGGCACCAATTCTACTACTTCTCTCCGCCATATGCCATTTGATCGTGATCGTCGGATTAACCCTACGCCCTACCGACTTCCTCATCGGAACAGAACCTCAGTTAAGCTTCAACCGGACGGACCTCCATTCCGCTTCTCTCGATTTCGGCAAAATGACGAGTATCGAACCGACGGCGGTTCTTCATCCGTCTTCCGCCGCCGACGTCGCAAAGATCATAAAATTGGCTTACGAATCCGGTCACGGATTCGTGGTATCAGCGAGAGGCCACGGACATTCAATCAACGGTCAGTCTCAGGCAGCCAACGGTGTGGTGGTCCAAATGAGCGGATCGAGTGGGGCTCCGGTGGCGCCGGTGGTTTCCGAGAAGTTGATGTATGTGGACGTGTGGGGCGGGGAGCTTTGGATCGATGTGCTCAAGTCTACGCTACAATATGGACTAGCACCAAAATCGTGGACTGATTACTTGTACCTTTCTGTTGGTGGTACTCTCTCTAATGCAGGCATCAGTGGACAAGCTTTCAACCATGGCCCTCAGATTAGCAATGTTCATGAGGTCGATGTCGTCACAGGTAATTAATGAATTCCACCATCCTCTTTCATGCATGATTTTGAAAACGATACTTACCCTACTGCATTACTTGCTTATACCGTACAACCCAACAATGCACCACCATACAAATCATAACTTAATTCATTCAGATCCGTTGATTAACGATATGTTGTGTGAGCAAGTGCAGGAAAAGGAGAGGTGGTGACATGCGCAGAGAATAAAAACTCGGAATTGTTTCATGCGGTTATGGGAGGGCTAGGTCAGTTTGGGATCATCACAAGGGCTAGAATTGCATTGGAAGCTTCCCCTCAAAGAGTATGATATGTTTAATTTACTATTTTAATTACATATTCTTTTCATGAAATACAGTACAATTTTGGAGATTTTGAATCGAAACAAAATAAATTATTTACAAAAGAACAGTGATTTAGTGGTCCATGTTCATGTTAATGGCGATGAAGTTTTTTCAACCAATCAAAACCTGCTTGCGTTTGCGTTTGTGTTTGTGTTTGTGTTTGTGTTGTTGTTGTTGTTGATGATGTGCCAGTTATTGTTATTATTATTATTCCATCGACAAACATATATAATGTCATTTTCTCACGCTTTTTAGGTTATGGCCCATGACTCTTCTTTCTTAACTTATTATTCTATGATAATTGACAATTAATTACCTTCAGGTGAGATGGATCCGTGTACTGTATTCAAACTTCTCGGTGTTTACCCATGATCAAGAATATCTCATCTCCCTCCATGGTCAACCAAGCTCCAAGAAGTTTGACTATGTCGAAGGTTTTGTAATCGTGGACGAAGGTCTCATCAACAACTGGAGGTCTTCCTTCTTCTCCCCTAGCAACCCTGTTAAAATCTCCTCCATTGCTGATGGTGGCAACGTCCTGTATTGTCTGGAAATCACCAAGAACTATTACAATCATTCCGACCCACAATCTGTTGATCAGGTAATTAATTAACCCTAGAACAATTCCTTTACAGGTGTTTAAGTTTAATAAAATATACGAACTCTGCACAAGAAAACACAGGAGATCTTCTGTTGATTTGATATGATGATTGACGACAAACATTACTAATATTTTACTTTTAAAAAAAATATATATATTGGTACTCATAATTAAATCGATGCAATCCACCCACCAAATAATTAGGAGCTAATTAATTAATAAAGTAAGTAAATGTAGTTATAAAAAGAAGTGTACTTTTGTTTACTCTTTTTTATTAATTTATTTATGCAGGAAGTGGACGCTTTGTTAGAGAAATTAAACTATATACCAGCATCAGTGTTCACTACTGATCTTCCATATGTGGAGTTCCTGGACCGGGTTCACAAGGCTGAGTTAAAACTCCGGTCCAAGGGTTTATGGGATGTACCACACCCGTGGCTTAACCTGTTTGTACCCAAATCAAGAATTGCTGACTTTGACCAAGGAGTCTTCAAGGGCATTTTGGGGAATAAGACCAGTGGACCCATCCTCATCTACCCCATGAACAAAAACAAGTAAGAATATATTATATAATATTCCATCCGTATATCCATATGATGCTATACAATATTATACCACTTCATGCATATCTACATGACATATAGAGATCATGCTTTGCACTTTGACCATGCATCTAACATGTTGAAAAAATCCTTCATGTGATATTTTGTACTTTATGCAGATATGTTAAGAGTTTGAATTTTAGCTCTTATTCTAACCACTTAGTGGATCGTTGTATATATACTTGGTTTTAATATGTGGTTAACTGTGTAGGTGGGATGTGGAGACGTCGGTGGTGACACCGAATGAGGAGGTGTTTTACTTGGTGGCGTTGCTTAGGTCAGCTTTGCAGAACGGTGACGAAGCACTGACATTGGAGCGGTTGAGTGATGAGAACCGTCAGATTTTAAAGTTTTGCAAAGATGAAAAAATCGAAATCAAACAATATTTGCCACATTACACCACACAAGAAGAGTGGATGGATCACTATGGAGAAAAATGGCCCCAATTTTACAAGAGGAAAATGGAGTTTGACCCTCGGCATATATTAGCCACCGGTCAAAGGATATTTGAGCCCAGTTTTATTTCTAAAATGAAGTCGTGGTGAAGTTTTAAGAAACGATGTTTGTATAAGTCGGTAGATATATTGGTCTTTTTGCATGTAGTAATGTACATAAAGATAGACAATATTGTAGATCAGAAGTAGAGCTAACCATTTTTTGCATATTCATTGATATAATGATTTTTAGGTACTTCATATATCTGAATTCAAAGTGGAAATTGCTTTTCCATGTATTACTTGGAATAACACAAAATTATACGAAGTGTCAGTTTAAGGTAAAAGGCCCAATAACGAGCCTTTAAGTTCAACCCATTAGCAACAGATCCGGATTTATCACAGGCTATGTTCGTACTTCGTAGGCCAAGCGACTGTATGTGTCATATACTAAACTAATAGCATACACAACACAGTCACAGCTCACACGACAAACGCCATTCAAATTGGTCTAATAAAACTAGGTCGCTAGCTCTAGAGTCTAGGCTCACTTATGGAAATATTTAAGCCAAAATCATAAAAATAAGAATGTTTTTCAATAACATCCTATGATTAAACATCGTTTATCAAAAATTAAACTTTTTCTTTACTAGTGATCATTACTGCGTAATATCTATAATTTTTAATACATAAGAGACTACCGATAATATTGAAGAGTGATCTGTATCAGTAACTTTTATACCTAGTTCTCATAACCCACATAGAAATACATATATTCACAGTGAACTGTTTTCTTTAGAAAAAAATCTGAGAAACATAATTAATCTCATTCACACCAACTATTAACCATGTTCGCTTGAATAAGAGGCTATCTATTAAAAGTAATCAAACCAAGCATATTAAGGTTTAAAAAAAAAAAAAATTTACATCTCGTAACACCATTGCCTTCATATACATTACATTAAATATCATAAAACCTCTACCATCACTGCGGCCAACAACCATTGCCTATCATCCAGGTCAAGTGAGAGAAGAAGAAGAAGAAGCGTCTGCCATTAACAACCATCTGTTTAAATCTAGCTTTGGCGTCTCAGCGATCACCACTAACCACCATCTATTCAAATAGGTGGAGTTTGAGGTGGACTTTCATTGACGTAAGGAGTGAATTGGAAAGCTTTGGACTAAGGTAGTTTAATGGGAACACACATCCTCTACTTTACTTTGAATTTTGTTGAGATTTTTCCTTAAATAATTTGTTTGCTACTTGAATACTATACGTATGTTAAGGTCTTCAATGTGAACACAATCAAACTTACTCGAACCAAATCTCTGAAAAACAAACAAAAAGCATAAGCACTTGGGTTTAACAACCCAATCAAAACAAATGGGTCTTATATGCACAAAGGTTTAACTACGACAATTATGTTCTCAAAATGACACAATAGTTCTACAATAAGCAAAAAGGGTGAAATCATAATTAAATCATATGATTAGATGCAATGCATGCAACTACATACGCCCATATCCAAATCACAATAATTGGTGTTTACATACTTGGGCTCATGGTTAGTGACATCAAGGAACCACTACCAACTGTTGTGCCGCAAAAACCAAATGCTAGACAATAGGGGAACCCACCACCTTATGCCACACAAGGGGGTAGCTAGCTCAGATGTGCACGTGAGTATTATCTAAAAATCTACTCACAAACGACGACATGACAAATAGTTAAAATATCGAGTACCCGGGATCTCACGGTCACATGATATACACAAATATGATGCATAAACCAATTTCCAAAAACATTAGTATTTTGCTTTTAATATCAAACCAATTTCCCAAAAAATGATATTTCATGAATGCTTCGGTTAGGGATTAGCTTGGACTTTTAGAAGGCCATAGAATCATAGAATATGTGGTGAGCTTTAATCCTTTTTGATATGTTGATTGTTAACAACCTTGATAGTCTTCAAACTTAATTAAACTTACTATTTTTTAGGGTGCAAAGTTATACATGGAGTGACTTTGTAATAGATTGACTTGTGAAGACCCACTTGCATATGGGATTGATACCTTGTGACATGAAAGTGAGAGAGAAAGAGAGAGATAGAGAGAGACATGTTAGTACCTCTACATATAGTGGGTTATATACCACTTGTAGAGTGTGCTTGAGAGATGTAGTTCGTAGAGAGTTTTGAGTGATTTAATTATGTAGACTAGATCTAGTTCATTTTTGTAATCTCCTCATGATGATCGAATACATCTTTTAGCACCCAAATCATTGTGTTCTTTGTGTTCTTACAATTTTGTATACCAAATCAAATGCTCATAATTCATTACATTTGGTATTAAAGAGTTTCTTCGAAGATCAAAATGATTTTTGAAGAAACGATTCTCGATTTGCCTACATTCAACACAAATTGAACAATTATGGTGAGTCACTCGATGATCTCTCTTAAATCTATCAAAATCACTTTGAATCGTGCTTACGTTATTGAATTTTTTTTATCATTGTGACTCATTGGATCAATTTTTTTTTCCAAAACCCAATTGTTATGATCCAATAAACTTTTTCATTGTTCAAGCCCAATCCGATCCTATTTTCTTATGTTTGATTCAATTCTTGACTGCAATTGTTCATTGGAATCAAAATCTAGCCCAAAATCAAGTAATGTTACCGTACATATTGAGCCCACATTTTGAATCAGTTAATGTTCATAATTATTTTGAGCCCATAATTCATTTTGATCCATACCTATTATCCGATATTGTTCATCATGTTTGAGCCTAAACCTTAAAAGTCCTTAATTCATTGAATCGTGAGATTTCGAACCTCATTAACAATCAGTTTTATCTTATTGTAACTCATTCTTACTTCACATTCACATAATTTTTCTTATATAGTTTTATTGCTTAATTGCGATATTCTTTCTAGCTAATCAATCAATTTGTTCTTGCTTCCTGTTTTCGTTTTGTTAATCGATTGCATATGATGTGTTTAATTATGATTCGATTATGATCAAGTTGAAATTGAGAATTGTCAATTGACACATTGGTTTTGAATAACTTGATCAAGAACAACTGAATAATCTATGTTTGATTTGAAAATCTATGTGAGAATTGTGATTTTTGTGTTTGTTGACTATCAAAATCGAAAAGTCAAACATGAAAGTCAAAATCAGATTCTCAAAAGTCGATTCAATGGATGGAAGGTTGAAATAGGCTAATAGAAGTCAAACAAGTGTTGTTTGGTGTCGAAATAGTATTTGATTGGAATCTTATTTCGAAATTGATTAGGGTTAGTGTTCTTGGTGTCGAAAACTGTTACTAGAGTTCTTGTTTGCATATTGAAATTGATTTGGAAATCAAATGCCTTGTTGTCAATATCGATTTTGACTGATGGAGTCCTGGAGTCGAGAGGAGTCGATTTTGATATGTAGGGTCAAATTAGATTGAAGTTGGTGTTTGGTTCGCATATGTGAATGAATTGAGAAATTCGATTTAGAGTTGATTCTTGGAGTTGAACATATATCGACTGGTTTTGGTTGTTCGCATCAAACGTGTTTTTTGAGTAATGAAAATTCGAAAATTGTATTTCTTGGAATTCGATGTGTACACTTGTAATTCGATGTGTATGCTTGGAAGTTCGATATGTATGCTTGGAGTTCGATGTGTATGCTTGGAGTCATTCAATATGTGACTGCTATTCCGATATGTGATAGTTAAGTCTGAATTTTATTTGCATCTGGCAAATCGTTTTAGTTTTAGGGTTGATGGTCGAACAAGCATCGTTTTGGGTCAATTGGTGTGAAGCCGAACACAATTTCTACATGTGGTCAAGAAGTTGCTCGACCTATGGATAACGATTTCGACGTGTAATGATCATTGTTCTCATTTTGTGATCAATTTGGGGAAGAAAGGAAAATGTTTGCTTTGAATCCTCATAATTTTAATGAACTGTCAAAATCTTCCACTTTCGAAATGGGGTCATAACTTGTGGAGAATGTAGATTTTTTATTTTGAATCCCTGTAGTTTAAGCAAGTTGGCAGAAATTACCCTGTTTCGATATTAGGGTAAAATTTTGTGAAATGGGAATATATTTTGAATCTGGTCCCCTGCAGTTAATGCGAATTGACACTTTATGCTCAGTTTCACATTTGGAGTAAAGTTTCACATTTGAAACTGTTTGTTGTGTGCAACAAGTCCCTACATATTTTTGAAATTGACAGAAGCTACCTGGTTTTTCGAATTTCAAGTCAAAGGCGGTCCAAGAAGTATCGAATTCGAAAATTGTGATATTTTTGGATTGACAAAACTGCAAGATTGGTCCCTGTTGTATTCAAAAAACTTTGGATAGGGTCCAAAAAGTTTCCAACTTGCATGGAAGATCCAAAATCAAAACATTTATGTGATTTTGGTCCAAAAAAACTTGAAAATACGATTATGCCCTTTAATTTTCTATTTTGTATTTTTATAATTATTCTAATACTATTTTAATATAAAATATAGATAAAGGAAAAAAAAATTCCCCCTACCCCACATATCGTTCTCTATCTTTATTTATCCGTCTCTCTTTCTCTCTCTCTCTCTCTCTCTCTCTCTCTCTCTCACACACACTCATGGACTTCGTCTTCTCAAATCTCATAGACTTCATCTTCTTAGGATATCCCCAAATTGATGAACTAAAGCCAAAATCAAGTCATATAAAGAAATTGAAACCCAAACACACAGACACACACATTCACATTCTAACGCAAAGCACCCACATCGATTGGAAACAATCTCATCAATAGGATTAACATAGAGGTAGGAAGGATGTGAGGCAAGTAGGAAGGGACCTTGTTGTTGCTATTTATGGTACGGATCGATGGCGGTGGCTGCGTTGTCACTGTTGGTGGTGGTCTGGTTACGTTGTTGCATTGGAGGCCAATAAAATCTATTGTCGGAGGTGTTGATAGTGGTGGTCAACCATTCACATCAAATTTCTTTATGATTAGGACAAAAATTGAAAGTAAATCTTCAGTTTTACTTACAAATTACAATATGGGATAACTTATACTACCGGAAGCTTACCTATATGCTTAGTTTGTGCAATAATGTCGTAAGGTGCAACCACTTCTTTTGCAAATGTGAAGGCTTCATTTTCATCAATGTTTGTTATAACCCTAATTTTTTCCATTACTTTTCTCACATTTTTTACTATGTCAACAATGCCGCCAGATCTAGATTGATCTCCTTTTTCTTTTTTTCTTTCACCTCGTTTTGACCCGAATTAATAGGGTCATATTTGAATTGGGATTCATCAACAGTAAAACGAGAACTTGCCCCTTGAGTTATGGACTCGACTACAATCTCTCAATA